TTCCAGCCACCATGCCTCCCTGCCATGATGGACTGTAATTCCCCTAGAACCATAAGCTCAAATAAACTCTTCCTTCTATAAATAGCTTGGGTCAGTGTTTCTATCACAGCAACAGAAAAGTGACTAATACACTGGCTTCATAGAAGGAATTTGGGAGTTCTCCCTCAGTTTCTATCGTTTTGAATAATTTAAGTAGTATTGGTTTGTGGTCTTCTTTAAATGTCTGGTAGAATTCTGCTGTAAATCCATCTGGGCCTGGGCTTTTTTTAGTTGGGAGGCTTTGTATTACTGTTTCAATTTCCTTATGTGTTATGGGTCTGTTTAAACTGTTGATCTCTTCCGGTTTATCTTTTGTGGTTCCCATGATTTCAGATATCCATCTATTTCTTTTAGATTTTCAGATTTAGTAGCATATAGGTTTTTACAATATTCCCATATAATGGTCTGGATCTTTTGGGTGTCTGTTGTGATGTTTCCCTTTCATCTGTATTGTTTTCTGTTTCTATTTTATTAATTTCTGCTCTGATTTTTGTTATTTCTTCTCTTCTGCTGGGTTTGGGTTTCATGTGTTCTTGCCTTTCCAGGGTCTTGAGTTGCAGTGTTAGGTCATTTATTTGGGCTCTTTCTAATCTTTTAATGTGGCCACTTAGAGCTATAAACTTCCCTCTTATGACTGCTTTTAATATGTCCTGAGGTTGTGTCATGTTGTACTGTCCTTTTCCTTGAATTTTAGGAATTCTTTTATTTCTTTCTTAATTCCTCCTTTGACCTACTCATTGTTTAGGAGTGTACTGTTCAACTAGGGCTCTGTCCAGTGTTGATTTTGAGCTTTATTGCCTTGTGGGCTGATAGAATGCATGGAATTATTTCAATTTTTTTTTTATTTGTTCAGGTTTGTTTTGTGGCCCAGTATGTGGTCAGTTTTTGAAAAAAATTCCATGGGGTCCTGAGTAGAAAGTGTATTCTTTGGTGCTTGGGTGGAATATTTGAAAGATGTGTATTAGGTCCATTTGATGTATGGTATTTAATTCAGACATCTGTTTATTCTTTGCCCAGTTGATCTGTCTAATTGAGACAGTGGGGTATTGAAGTTCCCTACTATTACTGAGTTGGGGGTAACCTGTGTCTTAAAGTCCTGTAATGGTTTTTGAATTTGGGTGCACCAGAGTTTGGTACATGTATGTAAAGGATTGTAATAGCTTCTTGGTTAACTCTTCCTTTGATCAGAATAAAATGACTCTCCTTATCTCTTCTGATTAGTTTTACTTAGAAGTCTATTTTGTCAGATATTAGAATTGCAACCTCTGCTTGTTTCTTAGTGCCATTTGCTTGGAATATTCTTTGCCATCCTTTTACCTTAAGGTAGTGCCTGTCTTTGAAGGTAGATGGGTTTCTTGCAAACAGCAAAGAGATGGATTTTGTTTCTTAATACATTCTCTTAGCCTGTGTCTTTTGACAGGGGAGTTCAGTGTTCAGTCCATTGATATTTAAGTTTATTATTGAAAGATGTGTATTGGTTGTCATCATTTTAATTGCTGTTCGTGTTCTCTAATTTTGGGTTTCCTAAATTATGCCTTTATTTATTTTCTTTTGTTGCCCCTGGGGTACAGTTGTTTCTCTCTCCATTCTCTGTATTGCTTCAAGTATTTGGTTTGTATTATTGGGGTGCTAGATCCTTTCTTTATTGGTGCCTAGATCCTTTCTTTATTGGTTATGTAAAGCTGGTTGGTACAGGGTTCAGGTTCTCTCATGTTTAATTTGGAGGGAACTGATGGCTTCAGATCAGCTATTCAGGAATACCAACAGAAGCCCAATTCAGGTTCCAGTCAGGTACACTCAGGCTTCCTTTACCACATGAAGTCAGGATCCAGGTGCTCTCAGACAGTCCCCTACATTCTCAGCCCCTATGCCAGAGGGAGGCCAGAACTCATCACTCTCTGGCAGTCTGCCGAGATCAAAGCCAAGCCGCTACAGCAAAGGAGGTTGAAACTCACCCTCTCAGGCTGTCTGCTAGGATCTCAGCCTTAGCCTACCAAAGCCAGATCTGCCCTGGGGCCTTAGGAGGGGCCTCACAAAAATCCCAGGTAGGGGGAAGGGTATGGCACAATTAAGGGAAGCTCACCAACATGTGGAGGCAGAATTGGGGGCTCTCAGGCAGTCCCCTGCATTCTCAGACTCTGCCAGAGGGAGGCCAGAACTTGGCACTCTGACGGTCTGCTGAGATCAGAGCTGCTACACCGATCCCAATGGAGTTTTATGGGTTGATGGAACTGTCTCATATCATGGTTTGGGTGGTAGTTTTACAAATCTATGTACACGCCAAAATTCATAACTATGTGCTAAAAAAAAGCCAAATTTTCAAAGAACGAAATTCCCCAAAGATAAGAAAAATAAAGCCAAACACTGACTTTTTAAAAGATCAACAAAATTAATTGATAAATCTCCAATAAAGATTTGATTAAGAAATAGAAATCATCTTGGGGATAATCAACAGCTACCTAATTGGACTTAAAGCACACTCGATGGGAGGGAACTCAAATCTGGTACTGTAAACTTAGCCAAATACACATAGCTGGAAAGGTCATAGATCTTAGACCCAAGGCTCTCATATCCCTAGACAAATGTAATTTCTTACTATGTGCAAAATATGGATCCTTAAATATACAGTCAAGCATCCCAGTCACCACTCATCAATGTAGCTTCTTTTTCAACAGAGAAGAGATTATTACAGAGTTACACCACTGGTCACAAACAGAGATTCTCTGTGAATTGCCCAACTCTAAGTGGCACATCTAGGATGCAACCCCTACACCTAAGACTCACAGAACATAGAATAAGGGATGAAGAGAACACTAATGCATCTTTCAATTCTCATCAATGTACCTCCCTCATACAACAGAGGGCCAGGAACACAAAAGGCCACAAATGGCCAAAATGCAGAGAATAAGAATCAGCAGAGTGTGGGTTCTTGGACAGGACTCCTATATTGAGGCCCACCCACCCAGAGCTCAGGGACCATTGTGGAAGGGGGTGGTGGTGGAAATGTCAAACGCCCCCCAAGCCCACCAGGCTTGGGTCTTCAACAAAAAGGACACTCAGGCATACATCTGAAGTTATGCGAGGAATTTATTAAAGGGACAGCAGGTACAGAGAGGAGAGCACTCTTTAGAAGGAAAAATCTACTGAGGGGTCCCACAGGTCCTTTTTATCCGGCCCAGAGTTTGGGTCACCTAGGTGACTCTTCCCAGCAGAAACAAAAGGGTTACTATAGAGACAGCACGAAGGCTGAACTGAAACTTTCTAGAAGTCCTGATTTATCATCTAGGTACAGCCTGTCAGCTCTGACCGCTGAAGCAGAGAGCTCAGAAGCTCTTAAAGTGACACTCTCCTAATTTCCAATGCTTATGGCAAGCATGGCTCCCGACATATCCCCCTTTCCTTTTATATTTTTTAAAGACGACGTACATGCCAAGACTTGGGATGGAACGACCGTGCCTGTCTTAGGTTGTCCTCTGCCAGAGTGAAAGCCATTGAGGGCGGCCGGCATCCTGCTTTCCTCTGAAAGAATCTTCCCCGTCTCTGGCTAACCAGCCTCCTGAAAGCTCCCAGTGAATGGCCATGGCCTTGGGGAAGAAACGGGAAATGCCACTGAGGCACAGTGTCACGGAGAGAAATTGGACTGCAGGACCAGAGCCTGGAACCGAAATATGGCCAAATCATGTAGCATTTAAATTGTAACTTGTGAATTAGGTTTCTCGTTTTTTGATTTTCAAATTCGCTACCTGTGAATTCTCTTTGGAATTCGCTACCTGTGAATTTGAATTCTCTACCTGTGCAATTCTCTACCTGTGCAACTGAAGGTTAGGCAGAGCCTAAGTCCCCCCTCCAAACGAATAAAAAGGACCCCACAGCCCAAGGGGTCAAAGGGAGGACATAAGGGAAGAAGTATCATATAAATGAGCATAACAATGGTGCACAAATCATGTGGGAGAAACAAGTAATCAAATAGGGCAGGGATGCATCCTAGCCAAAGTCCAGAGACGTAGAACGGTGGGCACCAGGTGGTGGAAACAGTCCAAGGGCAGCGGAAACAGAGTTCAAAAAATCGGTCCAAGAAAACTGGGCACACAGGAGGTGATGATGGATGGTGCAGCGATGACACAGGTGGCATAGAGTCCGGGCAGAGAAGAGTAGGACGGCAACAGCAGTGGAAGCAACGTGACGGGAGTGAACACATCATGGCGATATCCTGTGAAAAAAGCAGAAACACACCCCCTACCCAGGCTACCATGGGGCTAGGTAGCCAAATTAGTGAGCAATTGTAGCAGCGGTGTCCTTTTGAAAATGAAGAGCAGAAAAGATGTGAGCCTGCAGCTGCAGACGAGACACACAGCAACCACCGAGTAATAGTATACATAGCACAATCACTAAAGTAATCAAAGAAGAGCCAGAGCTATGTAAAATACTCTGAAACCATCTGCGAGGATCAAGACCAGAGAGAGTATTTGCTAAAGAAGAAGCTATCTGATCAATAGAAGTAGCGGAAGGCAATTCTTCTGAAAATGCTGCAAAGATTTCTTCCTGTAATTGCATCTCATTAAATGTAGCATTATCCATGTTACCCTGAATGTATAGCTCCAAATTGTGCCATTCATAAAGAGAAGCATTAAATTTATAAGGAGTGATGCAAATCTGAGTAGAATTCCAATCACATATTGTAGTTTTTTGCAATTCCAAGAGTTTACTACCTAACCAATGAAATCCGCTTTGTAAAGCCACGATTTCATCTTGTAAGTGAGCATTCACCTGAGCCTGCTGTGTCCAAAGCTTATGGGAGTTGTCATGCCAATGTTCAACAAAAGTCTCCGATTGCGCAGATTTCTGCAGTGCCACACCAGCAGTAGTTTCAGGTAGCGGCCAAGGCAATAAGACCTAAAATAGCAGCAATAATCAGACCAATCATACATTTACTACGCCGTAGCAACCTTTTTGTAGAAGTGAACTTGGAGCAGGACTGCTTGTTTCGGAACGATGTATTTTTACAGGAATCCATAAAGAGTTCCTTTGAGTCAAAATCATAACAGAGTCAAAAGCTGGATCAAAGGCTATAGAGTTGTTAAGACATGTATACAAATGACAATTTTGGCAAGTTAAGTTCATGTCCTGAATGACCACATGTCCAATTAAGATTACTAGAGGAAAGTGCACACAAGCTGTAACAGCTTGACTTTTCACTTTACCAATGGTATAATATACCTTCTTAGAAGCCATGCCAACACTGCCGTCAAAGAAGGTCACTGGTTTGAGAGCAGCAAGCAACTTCCAAACATGAACTTGAGGAGGATATAAAGTATGACCTGTCCGGAGCTGAGGTCGAGGATTAGCTGTTCCTGCGTCTACCCACATAATGTCCTTAGTGGTGTCAAATGTATCTTTCATAGGAACTACCTTAGACAGATCACACTCAGAGATAAAATCTTTAGCATTTGTACAATCTTCCAACCAAGTGCCTAAAGGGCCCCAATCAAGCCAAGTATTATTCCAGGATCTAAACACTTTACCCATTTTGCCTTTACAGTCCTGCCATATTAAAGCCTGTCTGTTAAAATAAAAATCTGGTCATAAGAAGCCTCACATTCTGGAAGATCTGGGGAAGCTGTAGTCTCATACTCTGACCATGGTGTACCTATGGATTGGGCAGTAACTCGTACCATGTGGGACTGAGTTGGATCCCATAAACCTCCCGGAGCAACCCAATCTTGCTGTCTTATAGGATAACAAGGAGGAACTCTGAAGCAGATGATATCAGCTGTAACAAATTGAGTATAATTAAAGTGTCCCTTCTTCATCAGGAAACTCTGGCTGACCTGTTCCATAAGGAGGTGACAAAACATTCATAGGAAAAGTAGGAACCACGACAGTGGGCTCCTTCCAAGTGTAAGGATGAAGAAGAGGAGGATTAGGCACATGAGCCCAATAAGTGGTCTCAGCTTCAATAACAGAAATCCAACTGCATAAACGAAAGATGATGACAAACAGAAGGTTCCTATGGGAGGAAGACATGACTAGAGACAATGGAAATATTAGTCTTCAGATGCTAGATAAGCTATACCTGATAGTAGTCCTAAAAACAATGTAGTGAAGGTGAAGCTGCAAGAAACAATTGTTGAAGTGAAGTCATAAGCTGTAAAGGAAATAGGACTGTGAAGGCATACACCAAGGTATGAAGTAAACTCAGCAGGAGTGGAAGCCAAACGATGATACCCATACATGAAAGAAGAATACTATATAACCTTAGTAACCAAAGTAACAGACAACAAACACAGTTGCGATCTCGTTGCCAGGGAGACAGCGCGTATCTTAGGCGGTTCCGTGACAACTGCAGGTTCTCAAGGTAATGGGAAACAAACATGGCATGGTCAGCTGAAAACAAGCATTAACAGAAATGACTGAAAATTAAGCGTAAATGTGTTGTATATTCTATGGGACATTCATCCAGGAGCGAGTGGTATTCCCAGAACCAGTTGTTTAGCTATACAGCGTAACGAGTGCTGAAAGTAATGACTGTAGTGAGAGATAACATGTTCACCAAAGAGGAAACCTAGAAAAGACATAACTAAATTCTTATAGACAACATACTAAACTGGAAAGAAACGTACATGTTAAAAGAAGGTATCAGGAAGATTGTTCTGGCGAAACTGGAGACATTTACTTTTTCTGTGAAGGAAGACCATAGGGTTTGGCACACTGGCAGCAGTGACAAATGTCATGAGCTGAGCCAATGTTAGAACAATATCTAATATAATCTGACAAAGATCTTTTTTCTATATGCTTTCAGAACTGCCTGACAGGTAGCATTTGCGTTTTTGTGCGCTAAGCATTTCACAAGCCGAGTATTAGCCTGACAGCCAACAAACAGCCTAGACACAAAGTCTTGATAGGCCTCATTAGGGCCCTGTTTGATCTTAGTGTGTTCCTCAGTGTGCCCTCCTGTAGGAGGCAGTTCATTCCAGGCTTTTTTCGCTGCAACATTAGCTTGAGCGTATACGGCATTTGGGAAATTTAATTGTTGTGCTGTTTCCTTATATTGGCCTTCTCCTGCAAGCATATCAAACGTAATTGGAATATGGAGACTCTTATTTAGGTCAGCAGTAGCCAGACAGAATTTGCTAAAATGTGACCTCCATATGAAATAGTCTTCTGTGGACAATTTTTTGCCAGTGCTTTTTAATCATTAGGAGGCAACTGCTCAGTAGGCAGGGAATCTAACACAGCTCGAGTAAAGGAAGCTGTAGGGCCTTGCTGCAGACAAGCAGATTTAAAAGTTTTCAAGGCTTTGAAACAGAATATC